CTGTAGAAGCATGTGTTCCAGCCAGCTCTCTGTGGTCCTAAAGGTAGGGTTACCAACTCCAGGTTCAGAAATTCCTGGAGATTTGAGGATGGGAGAGTGCAGTTTAGAAGAAAAAGAGAAGAGATTGGATTTATGCCCCACCCTTCACTCAGAGCCTCACAGTCCCCTTCCCCTCCCCATAACAGACACCCTGTGAGGTAGGTGGGGCTGAGAGAGCCCTAAGAGAACTGCCCTTGAGAGAACAGCTCTGAGAACTTGTGACTGACCCAAGGTCACACCAGCAGCTGCCTGTGGAGAAGTGGGGAATCAAACCCAGTTCTCCCAGATTAAAGTCCACGCTCTCAACCACTACACCAAACTTTAGGAAGGAGAGAGCCCTTGCTAGGGCATAATGCCGTATAGTCCATCTTCCAAATGCAGCCTTTTTGTCCAAGAGAAGTGTGATAAGTGTTTTAAATAAATAAATAATAAACCATTAATGTACGCTGGCTATCAGTTGTAATTCCAGGAGGTCTCTAGCCCCCAGCTGGAGGTTGGCAACCCAGGGAGGCCAACAAGGCCCCCAAAAGCCGGGTTCGCAGAGCAGTGTGAACTACCCAGTGCCATCTCCCAGAATCCTCTGCAGTGCGTTACAATTTCCCACTTCATGGGCAGTTTTACAGAATGATCATGAGAGGGTACTGCTGACATGAACCCTGAGGTCTGTGTTTTGCTGTTGCTGAATCAGGCTGTTCCATACAGGGATTTTTGCCAGTGTGGACAGCTTATTCGGGAGCCTCCCCCACAACACGGTGCCCAATCTAGGCCAGACGTGTTTGGCTCCCATATTATTACCAGATGACCTGTTTGTGGTGGGTTGTTTTTTAAAAGAGCTGCTCTGGTCAGGTTCATCGGGGAAACCGCAAGATGGCTGGGGGGAAGAGCACCTGTGTGCAGGCTCTGCTCTGCTGCAGGAAACATGGGGAGATGTGGTGGACCTCAGCCTGTAGGACTGGCCACCATCAAGGGCTGGGGAAGTCACATAGCCAGCTGCAGGTTGGGAATCTCCTGGTAGGGTTGCCAAGTATCACCTCGATACGGAGCGGGGGACTCCCGGGTCGCTCCCGGAGCGCACACTGCATCCACGTCACACGGAAGTGACGCGATCACGCAGGGCCCGCTGGGGGCGGGACCATGACCATCTGAGGGAAAACCATAGAGTTTTCCCTCAGATGGTCATGGCCCCGCCCCCAGCGTGCCCCGCGTGATCGCGTCACTTCCTGGTGACGTGCACGTCGGGGTGGAGCTCCCCCCGGGGCCCGATCTGGCGGCGGGGAACGGGCCTCTAAGGCGGGGGTTTCCCCGCCCCCGGGGGGACTTGGCAAGTCTAGATGTAAGCCATCGCTGTCCTCAACCAAACGCCTGGCAGGACATCTCTGCCTTACAGGCCCCTGTGGAACTGCATGAAGTCCTGCAGGGCCTTGATGTGTTCTGGCAGAGAGTTCCACCAGGTCAGGGCCAAGGCCAAGAAGGTCATAG